CTTCAGTCACTGTGTCAATCTACCTGATTGAGGGTCTTCCTCTCTCTGTGCCTCTGCCATTCCACGCATGATGTCCTTCAAGAAACACCCTCTCCTAGCAACATGATCAAAGTATATTAGACGAAGCTTCACTATTCTTGCCTCCAAGGAGCACGCTGGCTACACTTTTCTCCAAGACATATCTGTTTGCTTTTTTGGCAGTCCATGAGATCTTCAGTGCTTTTCTCCAGCCCCACAATTCAGAGGCATTAATTCTTCCTTCCATCATCCTTACTCATTGTCAAACTCTTAGATGCACAGAAGTGACTGAAAAGACTTGATGATCTGAATTACTAGAGCAGAGATTTGTTTCATGTCTTCCCTGTTGTATGTTGTTGTTATGTACCATCGAGTTAGAATCGACTCATAGCTAACTGTCCAGCAGGTTTTTAGAGACAGTAAATCATACACATTGTATGGGAAGAGATGGCCCATCTTTCTCCTGTGGAGCAGCAGGCAGATTTGGACCATGTCCCTATAGGATGGCAGCACAATTCTTTACTCCTAAGCCAACAGAGCTCCAAAATTAACTGAAAACACTGCCGTGCTGTAAATATTGGTGGTGGTGATGCTGTTGCATACCATCAAGTCAGAACTGACGCATAGCTGACCTGCCAGGGTGTTCAGAGGCAGTAAACCACATGGGAGGAGATAGTTCATCTTTCTCCCATAGAGAAGCTGGTGGATTCAAGTTGCATACCTTTGCGTCAGCAGCGCAATTCCTTACCACTATGCTACCAGAGTTCTCTTGACTGCTATATAGGTGCCTGGAAAAGTACTTGGTAGTCAGCAGATAAACAATGAATGGATTTCAATGAACAAATTTACCACAAAATGTACATCTCCCAGACATTGTTTTGGGCTTATTTTTGGTATATTTGAGTTTTTATATTGCTTTAAATCCTTGTCATATTTAAAGATGGTATGCTTATAGGTAATTTTAAATTAATCACATTTACAAATTTCATCAAATTGTGAAGACCTAAAATGAAGCCCAAATCACTGCTGCTGAATTGATCCAGATTTTTCATGAACTTTTAAAACAGTAGAACTGTCCAGTTTTCCAGTTTTGTAAATCTCTGCAGAAGCAAACTGCCATAACTTTCTGAAGCTGATGGGTTTGAACTGCTGACTTTGTGGTCCACTGCCAAGTACTTTAACCACTGTGACACCAGGGCACCCTTGTCAAGGCCTCACTCATTGCTGTCAATTCAGAACCAACTCAACCCTTGACTATCCAATGGGTTTCTGAGGCAGTGAATTACATGGAAGGAGGTTTACTATCTTTCTCCATTGGAATGGATGGTGGATTCAAACTGTCAGAGGCTCAGCCTTCGGATTAGCATCAAAATTCCCTCCAAACTAGGCCACCAGATCGCCTTATCAAGACCTGTTGTTGTTCTTGTAAGATGTCATCAAGTCGAGTACAACCCATAGTGAGTGACTCCGTGAACATAAGGTCGAAACCTTGTCTATATTGTGCCATCTTAACAATTTCTAGCACATTAGACCCCACTGCGGGTTCTGGTGTCTTAATGAAGCTGTGCTGCAATCCCAAAGGCTTGTGGTCAAATCCACCAGCAGCTCCACAGGAAAAGGACAGGCAATCTCCTCCCATGCGATCAACTGCCTCTGAAAATACACTGCAGGGTCAGCTAAGGGTTGGTTTCGATGGCACACAACAACAACAGAGCCCACTGCAGCAGTCACTGCTTCAACCCATTTGGTTGAGGGTCTTCCTCTCTTTCGCCAACCCTCCACCTCCCTAAGCATGATGTTCCTCTCAAAGGAATAGTTTCTCCTAGCAACATTCCTGAAGTATGTGAGACGAGATTCCTTGCTTCCAAGGAACACTCTGTCTGCACTCTCTATAGGGTACCAAATAGTATAACTTACGATGTACACTATTCTAAAATAGCTATTTACATTGTTCCTGGAACATAAATTTACACATCAGGAAAAATTGCAAACTCACTGCTGTCAAGTTGAAGCTGACTCAAACCAGAGAGGTGCACCTTTAGGTGAGCAGCACAACTCACTACAGACTACACCACCAGAGTTCCCATTTATACATCAGAAGGAGATAACTTTATTCTTCACACCTAAATCCTGACCTGGTAAATGCACCTTTTTACACTGATAAAGGGTCTCTACTGTCTTTGCTTGCTCTTATCTTACTCATCTCTGCAAGGGAAGGCTGCTAGCCAAGAGAAGGGATCGGCATTAGGAAGGAACACAAAGGGGCTTTCTGGGTGACAGCAATGTTCTAGGAGCTCTGGTGGCCTAGTGGGTACACAGTTGCCTTGCCAATGCGAAGACACATAGTTTGAATCTACCTATGGATTCAACTGTTCCATGGAAGAAAGATGGGAAATCTCCTCCCCTGTGGCTTAGTTTACAGCCTCTGAAAACCCACTGGAGGTTCAGCTTTGAGTTGGTTCTGACTACACAGCACACAACAATACAGGCAATATCCTACTTCTTGACTTGGGTGCTGACTACATAGGTGATCACTTTATTTTTTTGTTTAACCATACATTTACCTTTTATGAAATCTTTCCTACATGTGTTATATTGCAAAATTTAAAAGCTAAACAAATGAAGAGTTATAAAGGAAAGATCTAATTCACACTTTACAAAGTCCTATATAAAATATGACCCATCTCTACTTAAGTACCTTTTATGATAGGAAATTTTCTTGCTGCCAAAGAAGCCCATTTCCATTCCAATCACCCTAACCATTAGAAAGTACTTCCTTGGCTTGAGTCAAGGTCTACTTCTCCCATTTCTTCTGGTTTCTTTCCTGGAACACCCTGTGATATAACAGAGAGTACCTTCCAAAAATTCAAGGATGGCTGCTCTGCCCAAGCCCAAATCCCAATAGTCTCTGTCTATGAGTTTTTATTTCTTGATATTTGAGGAACAAAAATGAGACTTTGTGGTTTCTAGTTCATTGAGTTCCTGTACACTGCCAAATAAATTTTTCCAAGGTGAGAACACTAACAAACTGTATATGTATATATATATATATTTGCAGGAATGGCATCAACTTCCTAAATAACATGCCCCCAGAAAACTCTATGAACTTTCATAAGTGTCAGAGAGTTGTAGAGGGGCTTCTGGCCTTTTGTTCATAGGGTCACTATGAGCAGTGCTGGACTCAAAGGCAATCATCAACAATAACATATAT